GGACAATGGCTGCGATAATCAGAGTCATCGCTTTGTAAATTACACAACAGCCCTCTTCCTTCCGTGAGGCCTTGGCGAATGGCGGCTACAAACCAAAAGACGCCGAATGGAGATCTATATGGAAAATATTGTTTGTGAAACTACTTTTTGAGATGGAATGCTGTCCACCTCTCTACTGGATAATAGATGAGCGTTGGCAAGGCCAACTCTGCCAATCACCTCTTCGAGCTTCTTGGCTATCAAGATCTTGGTAACAAGTAGGTTGGACCAGAATTTGGCATCTGCTTTTCAACGGGCCTGTTCCAGGATATCTTATTGCATGTTGAGTTTCGGCAGTGACCCGACCGACATGAGCCTCTACGTCGAAGAGGAACTCAAATAAAATAATTGGAAAGAGAATATCACTGAGAAAGTTGGTGAATAGGTTCTTGAACAAGCCAACCGCAACTTTCTTCGACTCCACTGGTTCTGGAGCGGCCAAAGGATTCTAACACAGAAACCGACATTGAAGAACGACTAAATAAACTTCCTCGGGGTACGGACTGATTGTATCAGCATATGGAAGAGAATAATTGCCGCACCCAACGGCCCTCTGATGAGAATCTCGCTCGGTGGTACACGGAAAAAGGCCCAACAGATCGTGAAGCCCAACAAAAGGGCTTCACCGATACGGGACTTGTTGGTTACACAGCCTGAACACGTGCCCGCCCGGGCAAGAGCCTCCTTCCTCTTAGTAACTCAGGACCTTTGACATCCTACGAGATTATTATTGAATTGGGCCCTTTTGCTCCAAGACCTCATAACGAGCCCTTGTCACACTCGGCAGCTGCTCATCTGCGTCATACGTACGCATCGAACAGATGCCCTAGCACCCGGTTTCGGGCGGATCCTCGACATTACTCAAACCACGAGTAGGCTATGTGGTTACTTTATAGCTATTCAAGATGACAACAAGATTGGTTCGATTCACCAGACGGCACGCGAGCACCTCACAGCGACTTCGTCTCTGCCACTTTCTTGGGCGCCGCCGCTGGCTTGAATGAAAATGGAGACGAGCACCTATATCTCTTGACGCAGTTTTTCACACAGTCATCAGTTCTTATCTTGACTTACGTGTAAGCTTCATTTGATCAGCTCAGAGTTTTCATTGAGGCGTCTCAGGCTTGATACACCTTCGAGGAAGCGGAAGGCCGAAGCTGTCCGCTGATCTGACTCTGCCGCTTGAAGATTAAATGATCTTCAAGTCCTGAAAAGTCAATATTGAGACTTGCTGAAGTTGCTTGAAAAGTTCGGGAACTGTCTAACTCAAGATCCGACCATCATTTATACCAGCATAGCGTCGTTTTAGCAGGGCAAGCAATAATGCTTTGTCCTGCTATAGGATACTATATACATTATTCATTATATCTCTGGCTCACGCACAATGAACTCACTGATCTTGGGGGATAAACTGCGTCTAGAATTTTGCAATTGACTGTGTGTGTGGTTGGGGCGCTGGCCTAGCAAGCACCAGCCCATGAGAACAATCCTCATGATCATCATGACCTTTGATCTCATCGTGTTTCTTCATAACCTGCTTAATAGAGCCCCCATGATAGTTGATGCAAAAGACAATGCAGACCGGAAAGAAATTGTAGAATGACAATAATACCTACGCGCAAGTGCGCGCCCGGGCCCCAGAGCATTGGTGTAAATCGCCTACCTTGTCGCAGACCGACTTGCCGCGACAACTGACTACTCAATCTTTTTGCGTTCTGCTTATCATTTGCCCATTCTACATGCCAGTGTCGATGGGCTTGAACCGAACACACCCGGACGCTTTCCAGGCCTCTCTGTCTCCGGCTGCTTACTGCGAAATGTATGGCGGTCTGGAGACTGGGGCTTAGGGTTAGGGTTAGTCTCACTAAACCCCTAGTGGGGCCTTCATGATAAGATAAGAGATAGTTTGACCCGGGGAAATCATCCCCCCCACTTCATCCCCCGTTTGCGACCGCCGAGCGACATTTCAACAAGGCGTCATATATATCTCTCGCGACACCATTTCTCCATTTCTTGGCGGAGCGGCAGTCTTGAGTCTAAATACTCCATTGTTTGCCGACCGAATACCATCCCCGCCAAGCCCGGCATAATCCTAACGGCATAAGGCGCCCAGCGGCGACTGGTACGACCAGTGTCTTGTCGCATTCGGCTAGCCCCAACTTCCACATTGACGGAATACCGTTTTGCACGGCCGTCTGCTGCCACTTCATCTAAACATGGCTGTATCGGAACTTACTGCTTCAGCGGTAGCTAGGGGTGCAATGGCAGTTGATTCGTCAGACGTTGTTCAGGGAGCAGCATCTACTCGACCGACTGCATTGCAGAATAGGGCGGCCTTCAGCAAGAGTCCCTTTGTTAGAGCCGCAGAAAACAGCCTGGTTAAATGGCAGATTTTGGACGCCGATTCAGTCGACCGAGCGAAGCGGGAGAACAAGCTTCTCTTTCTTCATATTGGATACAAGGCTTGTCACTGTATGTTCTCGAGTCGCGGAAACCATCCTGGACCTGAATGAGCAAGCTGACAGTTGACAGTCTGTCGTCTCATGACTCAAGAGTCATTTTCAAACCCAGAATGCGCTGCCATATTAAACGAATCTTTTGTTCCCGTCATCATTGACCGAGAAGAGCGACCCGATGTCGACACCATTTATATGAATTATGTACAGGCCGTGAGCAATGTAGGAGGCTGGCCGCTGAACGTCTTTGTTACCCCCAATTTGGAACCCGTCTTTGGCGGAACATACTGGCCAGGACCTGGCACGTCGCGACAAGTTACGACCGAAAGCGAGGACGAGTCGCCCGACTGTCTAACGATTTTCAGAAAGGTGCGCGACATTTGGCATGACCAGGAGACACGATGTCGCAAGGAGGCTTCAGAAGTTCTGGCGCAGCTTAGAGAGTTTGCCGCCGAGGGCACCTTGGGCACTCGAGGACTTACTGGTACACATCCCATCGCCACACCGAGCTGGAATATCCCTAGCAACCCGACTACCACAATTCGCGCCAGGGACAAGGATGCCCAGGTTTCCAGCGAGCTGGATCTGGACCAGCTGGAGGAGGCATACACGCATATTGCCGGAACGTTTGACCCCGTGTACGGCGGTTTTGGCCTGGCGCCAAAATTCTTAACGCCTCCAAAGCTGGCCTTCTTATTACATCTAAACACATTCCCCAGCGCTGTGCAGGATGTGGTCGGCGAAGCAGAATGCAAGCACGCGACAGAAATGGCCGTCGACACCCTTCGAAAGATCCGCGATGGCGCCCTGCACGACCATATCGGCGCAACTGGATTTGCCCGCTGTTCAGTCACGCCCGACTGGAGCATCCCCAACTTTGAGAAGCTAGTCGTCGACAATGCTTTACTGTTGGCCTTGTACGTCGATGCCTGGAGAATAGCTGGCGGCAAGGCGGACAGCGAATTTTACGACATTGTGCTCGAACTCGCCGACTACCTGAGCTCGCCCCCAATCGCCTTGCCCAGCGGCGGCCTGGCCACCAGCGAAGCCGCCGACTCTTTCATGCGACGCGGCGACAGGGAAATGAGAGAAGGGGCCTATTACCTATGGACCAGACGCGAGTTCGACTCTGTCGTAGACGCCTCCGGCCACGACAAGCAGATCAGCCAAGTCGCCGCCGCCCACTGGGACGTCCAAGAAGGCGGCAACGTAGACGAGGACCACGACCCCAACGACGACTTCATCAACCACAACATCCTGCGCGTCGTTAAGACGCAAGACGAGCTCAGCCGGCAGTTCAACATTTCTCCCGACACAGTACGCCAGCACATCCAGGCCGCCCGGAAGGAACTCAAAGCAAGACGGGAAAGGGAGCGAGTCCGGCCCGAGCTCGACGATAAGGTCATCACCGCGTGGAACGGCCTCGCCATCTCCGCCCTCGCACAAGCCTCCTCCGCCCTGAAGCCCGTAGACTCCGCCCGCAGCGACAAGTACCTCCACGCCGCGGAATCAGCCGCCGCCTTCATCAAGGCCTCTCTCTGGGACGAATCGTCAAAGCTCCTCTACAGGATATACCGCGAGGGCAGGGAGACCAAAGGCTTTGCCGACGACTACACCTACCTCATCCACGGACTGCTGGACCTTTTCGCCGCGACAAGCGACGAGAGCCACCTCGCGTTTGCCGACGCTCTCCAAAGTAAGCCACTTCACCCCCCCTCCGTGCCAAACACACAAAACTAACGTGGCCTAGAAACCCAAAACTCGCTCTTCCACGACTCAGACTCTGGCGCCTTCTTCTCAACGACAGCCTCCTCGCCACAGGCTATACTCCGCCTAAAAGACGGCATGGACACCTCGCTGCCGTCGGTCAACGCCGTCGCTGCGTCGAATCTGTTCCGTCTCGGCGCGCTGCTAGACGACGAGCGGTACTCAGCGTTGGCGAGGGGGACGGTCAATGCCTTCGAGGCAGAGATGCTGCAGCACCCGTGGCTGTTTCCAGGCCTGTTGGGCGGCGTTGTGACTGCGAGACTGGGGCCGCGGGAATCCGTTAGCGACGTCAAGTACAAGGTTGGACGGGAGAAGGCTGTTTAGCGTAGCGAGATATCCTCTGGCTGTTCAATGTTGGCACGGCGGCTGCGAACGCGCCACGCTCGTTCACGTCAGCTTGTTACAGGCCGGTCAACCAACGTATTAATCTAGGCGCAAAACGCATAATGCCGTGCGTCACGTATGAATGAATGCATTTATCGAGTGCATTTCGCATCTCGGACTTGGATCTTGGTAGCGCAGAATGTTAGCAGCCATTCTGAAGGCACCTGTCGCATTACTTGAGCCCAGAGCCATTCTGTCTGGGGCTCCTTCTGTGCCTCGTCAACCATGTGCCTTGCTTATTTATTTATTTTGCTTTTTCTCAGCTTCAACATTCACATACAGTAATCAGTTGAATTTTATTTCCAGGGTATCTATTCTACAATAGTTGCCGTTGTTCACTAGTGAGCTTCGCCTTCATGACCGGGGGCTGTCAGCCGCCCCGGCAGTCCTATTCATCAACCCGCTAAAGAAATTCTGTAGTTGCTCATTGTCAAATTCCTTTGCCATGTTGCCCACCGGCAGTTCTTCCTGTTCTTCCTCGTCGTCTGGCGCAGCATGCGCATTGCGATCCTGTTGTCATTAGCATCGCCTTCCCGCCTTGATTGCACTTGGACTCAATGAGCAATTTGAATGGTAGACTCACCTTAAGGCGCTGCAGCATGTCATCTGCATCGACTTGAATACCTCCCATGTTGAACTGCACTGGGCCAATGTGATCGTGCACGCTCTTCTCCTCCGGAAACTCGACCCTTCTCCCTGCCGGTAGGGGACTGCCCCCCTTCTCAGGAGCCTTGGCCTTGAATGCCTCCAGGATCTTGAGCTGTCGCTCCAGAAAGTCCTGCGGGTCGTCACTCTCCACGCCGACGGCTTGGCCGTCTGACATTGCGCTTTCAACGACGGCAAGACCGCCGCTATTAGGGTCACGACACCATTGTTCGTATTGAGCTATGGCGCTGGGCTCCTGTGGCGGCGTAGGGGATTCGTCGTCGGTGTTGCCGGCGCCGGGATCGGATCCCGGAGGGAGCTTGATATCAGCTTCCCAGCCCTGAGAGATCAATTCGGTATCAAAAGTGCCACCCAGAATGCGAATCTTGCCCCATGAGTCCCAGTTTGGTGCGACGACAATCTTGTCTCGGTCTATTACGTTGTGTTTGAGCGGTTGGCGCTTGAGGAGGGATGTGATGCCGAGAGTGGAATGGATGAGGAGAGGGAGTTGAGACGGTGTATTTTGGGACGTATATATTAGAGATGCACCATCTAAAAGAACCGTTAGCGACGTTCGGCTTGTGTTTGGGGATAGAGCATACGTCGGAGGAGGATGGTTCGGAGATACTGCAAGACGGTGTCAAAGTCGGGCTCTTTCCAGCTCTTGTTTTTTTCAAGAAACTCCATTTTTTGCGCCTGCAGCTCGTTAGATTAGCTATACACAAACAAGTCCTGCACGAAGAAAAGGGGACGGCTTACATTCTGGCATACTACGCAGAGTGGTAATCCCAATGGCTCTGACCACTCTCCTGGACCCAGCGGCAGCAGTCCGTCGCCATCGCCACTCGTTGCTGTTGCCGTCGGCGTTCCGTCCAAGTTCGTCGACGCGCCCACACGGCCGCGCTCCTTCCAAGAAGTCATAACATCCTCCATTTCGTTGCGCGCCTCGGTGTTCACCCCGCCCATGACCTCTTCCAGCACTTGGATCCAGCTCCAGATTTGACGCAGCCATTTATGTGGTTGTGACCAGTCGAGGAGGATGACGATAGCTGTGTGGGATACTGTCTCCGCGGTTAATAGCGGCGAGACGAGTGTTGCGAACTCGCTGGAGGGCTGTGAGAGCAGATATAGTGATACTCGAGCAAGCGTATCTAGTTGTGTCAGTCAGGTCTGAACCACACCTATCAACAGCGTTTCAAGTGCGAACCGTCTTGATCTGCGTCCAAAACATCGTAGTATGTGTATCCTAAAGCGAAATTGTTCGCAACAGGCGGCGTCTTCTGTCTATCAAAATTTCGTCTCGCCTCGGTACCAGATAGTGACTCGATAAACTCTCGCTGGGTCTCAGGGGTACCGCCTGTTAAATCATTAGTCGGTTGAAGAGCATAGCATAGCATAGCTACGCGGGAAGCACACTGAAGACGCGCGTACCCAGCACCAGGAGATTCTTTTCTGGGAGGCGCTTCCCGCTAGCGACTGATTCCAGCATGGATGTCCAGAGGTTCTTCTTTTGTTCGCCATTTCGACCATCTGTTTCGCCAGAGCCAGAGGTGTATGTTGACACTCGTTCGTTTCTGCCCGCCATGGCAGCAGTTATTTGCACAGGCGAAGATTTTGCGTCCACAAAAGTTTCAAACTAATATATGGCTGCCGTCGATTATTTCGTACGAGAGGCGTGTCATCAAACGTGCTTCCCGGAGCTTGGTGGTGGAAGAAACCGTGTCTCGAGGTCGTCAGGGGTGCAGGAGCTCAAACGCACTGCTCGAGCATCTTGGATCGCGTGAAGGGTACAAAGAAATCTGAAAAATCATAAAAAAGTGCCCAAGGTTCAACGAGGTGTCTTTCTTCCAGACAAATGCGCACGAGACGAGACTGCTTCCAATGGCGTGGGTATACCTCCTTCATCAAAAGGCCTGGAGCTCTGTTACGTGCGGTGCGGAAATTGACCCACTGGAACAGGAGCGTGGCTTTCGATTGATCCCTGGCCAAACGCCAAGCAGTTGCAGCTGTTGGTGCCTGTGCCCCACCAAGCCCACTGGAACACCCAAGGCTCCACTGTCATGCCTCCAATGTCAGCCTTGCAGATGTTTTGCCCGGCATCAGAGCTTTCGGCAGCCTTGCCAAGCTCAACTCTTCGCCATCAGCAACAGCTAAGCGCAGCATCATGAATAAAATCCGGGCCATCCAAGAGCTAAACAGGAGAGAAATCGAAAATGGAATGTGAGTCTTGCGACCCATATCCCCCCCTTCCTCGCTCAAATCAGCTAACATGCCCAGAACACCCGAGGGCTCCTGGCACGTCGACTACCGCGACACGGCATTTATTTATTTCGGCGGATTGCCCTACGACCTGACTGAAGGCGACATTATCACCATTTTCTCGCAATTCGGCGAGCCCGTCTTCCTGAAGCTCGCGCGGGACAAGGAGACGGGCAAATCCAAAGGCTTCGGATGGCTCAAGTACGAAGACCAGCGCAGCACAGATCTGGCGGTAGATAACCTGGGCGGCGCCGACATCAGCGGACGAATGATCAGTGTCGATCATGCGCGATACAAGCCCCGGGATGACGAGGACCCTGAAGAGTTCAATGTTAGCTGGGAAGCCATGATGCGGAGGGAGGGCAAGCTCAAGGATGAGGACGAGGAGAGCGAGGAAGAAGAAGTAGCCAGGCCAATGTTGCCAGAAGAGAGGGAGTTGGCGATTTTAATGAGGGACCACGACGACGATGATCCGATGAAGGGGTTTTTGGTGGAAGAGAAGAAGCGAGAGGTTGAGGAGGCGAGGAGCAAGGCGGACAGGAAGGAGAGACATGGGGATAAACACAGACGCAGACATAGGAGGAGGGATGAGTCTCCAGAGGAGAGAGACAAGCGACACAGAGAAAGGAGTAGAGAGAGGGAGTCGAAACGGCCAAGAGACGACTCGAGGGACAGGGAGAGGCGGCGTCGACGAGACCATGATGAAGACAGGGATAAGAGAAGGAGCAGGCGGGATCGCGATGATGATGATGATGAAAGAGAGTGGCGGAGAGATAGAGAACGCGATCGGCCAAAACATGATCGGAACAGATCTCAAGAACGAACCGAACGCCACAGGGACGATGAGAAGAGACGGAGACGGAGCAGAAGCCGTTCGCCACGACGTCATGAAGATTGATACCACAATAGCACTTAATTTGCATATTGGAAACGTAAAAAACCAAAAGTAGTGATGTTATTCGAGGCCTACGCCGCCTAGATCCAATTGATAACGCCCAACGTCCCATTGTATGCAACAGAATCTTGTAGCCCCAAACATTGTGGCCACATACAGGGAATCACGTATTCCCCAAATATCGTTTCCAACCCTCTCTCATGCACAATCGTTTCCCATTCTCGCCATCTACCAAGACGAACTTCTCCCATCGAGCATCCTTGCCGGCACCCACAACCGCAAGACTATCCTCGCTAATCCAGCCAATAATGCCCTTCGCGGGGCGCATCGTTCCCAGCACCGTTCCTTCGGAGAAGGGGATGCCCCCAATCATAGTTTCGTCACCAGCTTCAAACGGCGCAGAAGCGAATGAGTACACGTCTGAAAATACGCGGGGCATGAGCGGCAACTTGCCCAAAATGCCCCATTTGCCAGGCTCGGCGTCTGATGTACCGAGCTGTTGGCTTCTCTGTATTGATTGTCTCCTTGTATTGGGTATATCGAATATGTGCAGAGTTGATTTGTCTGATGTGCAGGCAAGCATGGCTCCGGATGGCGAGAAAGCCAAAGAGAAAATGGTTGCGGGGTCAATCCCCCTCCGAAGCTCTGCGACCTTGGCGCAATTTGCTGTAGAGTAGACACGGATAAGAGTTCCGGTCTCACTTGCAGTAGCCAGTAGCTCTCCGTTGGGACTTAATTGGATGGCCTTGAGAGCTGATGAGTGAGCCGGAATGATGCTAACGTTGCCTGTAGCGAGCTCGATAAGTTGAATCTGGCCGGGAGTTCGTCCTGGGAAAGCGAGTGTCTTGCTGGATAAGGAACAGAGGCCGAGCATGTTGTCTGCTGTTTCATAGACATGCAGTAGGTTCGGAGGTTTGGCAAACGAGTAGATGCGAATGCTGTTTTGTAAAACGACCACAATGCGCTCACGGCCTAGCTGGACTCCACGAACGGAGCTGAGGGCTGAGATTTCGAGCGCTACTCTTCCCTTCATGTCATCCCATATAATAGTCTGCGGTGAAGGGGTTAGCAGGCATATCATTAGGTGTGCTCTACCTTGACTGACCTTGTTCATTGCAAATTTAGGAGACCTTCCACCACCGACGAGAGCCAAATAGTTGGTCATGCCCATCATTTGAACAAGGCCAATTCCGGCGTTAAAATCTTATGTTACGTTAGCTAGTCGCATGAAGATTGTGTGAATTCCTTGGAAAGAGTACCTCTTGATGCCTTTAATAAACATGACTTTGTGTGAAAGACTGAGCAGGTTAGCACAAATACCGTGACCAAAAATTCCGTGAAACATACTACAAATGCCAGATTCAAGACCAACAGCAAAGCAGCTGCTATCATTATTAAATGCGACAGATAAAACGGCCGTCGGGTTCGACGCCTCGATAGGCGGCCGCACATTCATGCTGGCGTGGCGTGGGTAGTATGTGAGACAAAATGTCGATGAGATGTGGAGTCAAAAAACAGAAATACCAGTCGCATGAACAGAAGTAAAAGCACTACTGAGAAATAGAAGGAGTCATATCGGCGCTAGCCTTTGGGTTAGAGATATAGAAGAGTTGCAGGCGCTGCGCAGCGGCGGCGACGAGCAGTCGTTCTGCCAGCGTATCAATTGGGAGGCAACGCTGGCTCTTCAAAGTTATTTCCGGGATGCCACTGTCTCCCGGAGTCCGCAAGGGCACCTCTCGGCAGGTGGGCAGGGGACCACGCCCGCACCGGTATGTGGATATGGATGCGAGTTGTGAATCTCGAATCTCGAGTTCGCAGCCCCCTTCGTGATGAGATGGCGATGGTGAGTGCTGGGCTGATGGAGCGGGCAGCTGGGCCAAATAAAGCGAAGATGTCGACTGGTTCCTAATGTCGCACCGCAGGTGACTTATTAAGGTCGGCTGGAGGGTCTCCGCCTCGCATGACTTGACAGTACCCAGGTACTACCCAGTTGTCTGGGCATCTGGGCAGTCACTGGCCCTTTTCCCAGCACAAGTTCCAGAACCAGCCTAGTTTAGCTCAAGCCAAGACTTGTTTGGGGAAGTAGCGGGTAATCCATTGTTTGTAGATGGACCGGACATTCAATTACTAATGCAATTCGTGGTGCTTGCAGCTTTTTCAATGGGCCAAAGTTTAATAATACCAAACTTCCAGAAGTTCTCACTCTGTCGGCCGAAAAGCCACAACATCAGGGCCCTAAAATCGAGATCATGTCGAGCCAAGTGCTATATCGCAGATTGCCCCACCAACAAATCGCCGAGCTAATACTCGCTCGCGCTCGTCTTCAGAGGAAAGTTGTCAAGGTAAGGCTCGCTTGTGCATTGTGCTGCAAGTGGTGTTTTCTCATCATACGCGGCAGTAGATGGGGTAAAAAAAACATTAGATACACAATCAAAGCAAAAGAAATGAAAAAACCGGGAAGGAGAATGGTTATGTTTGGAAATCACAGATTTCATCACGGTGGGAATTCGGAAGTGTAGCGCCTAGGTTTACGCTTGAATGATACCTCCGAGGCGATGATGATGCCCCAGCTTGATTCGACAAAAGCGCGATTCCACGATTACAATCTCCAAAGGCTACATCTGCCGCGCAATAGCATAGCCAGGCTAAATTTATTTGTAATGAGCAAATTGTGACTGGCACGCTGAAGACCTCGGCACCTAGAGACAAGACCAGGTTATGGCAAAGGCACGCCTCTATTCAACGATTAACCAGCGGCTTGCCTTTTCTCTTCGTACTTCCCACAACCAGCGCTGCGCACACCTCTAATCCGCGTGCTTAAGCCTGTGGCCAAACTTGCGAGCAAACGAGTCTCGGCAAAAAAGGGCAAGTGATCTGCCGAAAGAATAAAATGCAGATGTCGCAATTCAGCCCTTCAGGACGCGAAAACGCCAATCCATCGTCCAGGCACCGAGGCCTGACACATTACGAAGGCAGCTGGAATCAATAGTGATGCCGATCAGCCGGGTCACTTCAGCTCCTGAAGCTAGCACACGCACACAAACAAACAAGGCCGATACCCCAGTCGTCAAGGAGACTGAAAATGATTAGCACTCCTCGCCCCGGGGTCGTACTCCAAGACACGATGAACTGCAGATTTTGCTCTTGCACGACGTTAACGCCTAACCATGGCGGCGACATACAGCTCACCGCCGCCTTTCTCGACCTCGACTAACCTTGGTCCAATCACCACCACGCTGTCTTTTCCTCAAGACTGCTATACAGATCATCATGATTTCCAGACCGAAGGCTTAGGCTTCCTTGGAAATACACTACCGCGGGCATGTTGAAAATTCCCTCAGATCAGTAGACTCGGCATTTTGCTTATACATGGAGAGGTAGGGTGTGCGATAAGTTCATGCTGCCCGTCTGGGAATATATACTCCCAGCCATTCGCATGGATGACAAGTTACTACTCGCCCGGACTCCATTGCCCTTCGAACTATCATTCCTGCGCTCCGCCGCCCTCTCCGTATGCGCTATCTTCGTCAAGCGGAGAAAACATCGCCTTCTGCTGTCCGAGTAGTGAGTAACAAATGATCCCTCCTTGGAACTGGGAATTGATAGAAACTCTTGTGTAGACTATGTTTGTCCTGCGTGGCAGACCCAATCAGGAGGAGGCGGTATTGTGTACGACGGCTGCAACAGTGGTCTCGTATCGGGGACACAGGTTGTGACTGTCGATAACAACATGTATGACCAAAGATCTATGACGCAATATACATATACAGCTACGGGTGCGACTACATGGTGGCAGATTGCGTGGCCAATTCAAATTCGCTGGAAGGAAAGAGACCTTCTTGCGACCGCAACGACTTCCACGACAGCTACTAGTTCCATTACTCCGACAGCCGGTTCCAACGCGACCCAAATAAGCTCGGGGCTGTCAACGGGAGCAATAGTCGGAATCGTACTGGGGTGTCTTGCTGCTCTCGCATTTGCCCTCGGGACTCTGTGTTTTCTTTGCCTTCAGCGACGGAGGCAAAGACGACTGCAACCGCAGCCAACTGTTGGAATATCTGCAGGATACGGAACCGGCCCTGGAGAACTGCCATCGGACCCTTCCAAACAACATGTCTTCCAGCATAGTGTCTTGCAGCCTGTTTTCAACGAGCTTGATACTGCGCCTAGGCAATATGTTGCTGAGATGGAAGGGGTCAACTCTTTAGAACAGACGGTTGGTAAAGTGATCCCTCACTACTCTGGCTATAGGACTAACTGGAGCTGGTCAATCAGAATCATCCCAACGTGTCAGAACTTCCACACGCCCCATATTTGTAAAGTAGCTACTCGAAAGAGGAGTGTTGGTGTTTTGTCGATTTCGAGGGGTCGTCCGGGGGAACTGATCCTTTTTAGTGCGTTTTCATCGCTTCCTCATACAAATGTGCGGAGATTTTGTCCCAGTAGTATTACGTATCACAGACAGAGTCGCAAGCAGAACTTAGAGAGCTTGTCACAGATGCGCATTTGTTTGTTGGGGAATCCGTTGTAATCACAGCGGTGGTATGCCTTTGTAGCGTCGATATCAACAACGGTAAACGGATGGGAAGTACTAAAAAGAGACTCTGGGCAGAGCGATTGATTGGCAGCCGTGAACTTAATCGAAAATAATCACCCAATACTGCCGGGTCTCATACTCCTGAAGTCCATGATGTGACAAAGATCATCCAGCCAAACGAGTCCACTTGGTGCTCCGCAGTAAGATGGCCCTTAGCCCAGAGAAGCCCCGAACTCTTGGCTATGCCTAATGAGGGTGTCGCATGCGCACGGGCCGTGAAGCAACGAGATGGCGGTTAACTGTTGACTACAACGGCCACGATGAGGTCCAGGGGTTGAAGATGAGATGCATTTGGCTGGGTTCTGGTTTCAATGCCAGTGATCAGGTGATGAAGGCAGACGAATTAGAAGGCTCCTTTCTTCAACATCATGAAATAGGCTGTTTATCTCCTGAAAACATCTCCTCTGCTGTTGCTGGTGGCCGGAGAAAAAGGCGGTGGGCAGCTCTTGGTCATTTCTGCCGGTTCGTCGAAAGCTCTCAGGGGCCGAACGTGGTGCGTACCTCATCACCAAAATCAAGCTGTAAGGTACCTACACCGAATGCCCCTGAAAGCGCGAGTGACGAGCTCTCTTGCTCAGGGCCCCAGGGACCGACCCCTCCCCGCTATTGATGAGATTGACCCGCGACCGCGCTGGTGATTCTGAGGTCGAAGCAAAAGATAAATCAATCCAAATCAGCGGTCCGTACGGAGTACTTGATGCTCATGACAATGGCTGCGGCGGAAAGTAGTGTGTTAGCCTCGGCGTGGATCAGCTGCTTCAATCTCGATATCCATCCATCTCAACATTGATTGATGAGCAGTCCGGATGAAATTAGCCTCCCAATGCCCACTGCACGCCAGCGGTCCCCATTGGCAGCCGTGTCCTAGTTCCGCCCCACTTTGACATATGGAGCCCACCAATCGACTAGACCCCTGGTTCCCCTTTCCTGAGGCCCCGAAGTACCTGGTGCTGTCCAGGTCTGCCCGATGCTCGTGCCTGCTAATTGGGTCATTGATCTGCTCGAGTCCTGAAGTGGCTCCTCAACCCCCCAAAACCACCCTGGCCAGCACTTGTGGCCTGTAGGAGGCGGCGCACCACTTGCTCGACCACCATCTCCAAAGTTGACTCCTCTAGTCTGCGGTTACTTCTCCCCGACTTCTCGTCTCCATCCTAGCGAGCTGCTCCCAACTCCATCTCCCACGCAGCGTCATCGTGTCCGTCTTGTCGTCTCTTACAACTGACGCATCTCCTCGTCGTCGGTCTTCTTTTACTCCCCAATTCTCAACTCCTCGACTCCAGCCAAGATGTCGTCTGCCGCTACTGTACGTGCTTCGCAGCTTCCCACCGCCCACACCCACCCCCTGGACGCATATAGCCCCAACTAGCAAACTTGTCGACGATAGCGTTTGGAGACTGCTTTGGATGCTGCTCAAACCACAATAATGGGATATGCTGACTTGTCTTGATGTTTATAGAAGATGATCCGGAGGAAGAAGAACGTCAAGAAGGGTATTCAGTTCTGCTTGATGGTCTGTGGTGCCTCTGGAACTGGTAAGTCACTCTCCATCTCCCCTCTCACGCAGCTCTAGCCAAGTCACCTACGTAATGCTGCGACCTATGTGGTTTTCTACCAGCAATAACTAACTTCGCTCCCTCCAGGCCGAACCACCTTCGTCAACACACTCTGCAACAAGGATGTGCTCACGCATAAGAATGCCGACGATCCCACCGATGCTCACGTTGAGGATGGTGTCAAGATTAAGCCCGTCACCGTTGGTACGTAGTTTTTTCAACCATCTGCAGAAAATAAATGAGTCAAACATGGCTTTACTGACGGAATATGGTGATACAGAGCTCGAGCTCGACGAAGAGGGTACC